CACCTTTTTTACTGAGATCGTGCCCTTTCAAATTTTATTTATTTTCTCTAAGTCTGGGGAGAAGCGGACGGAGGATCGAGCCTCCATCACTACTTCCCCTAAATGACCCATATGGGAATAGCGCTTTATGTAAATATAATAATAATTATTATTATCATTTTATACATTGTGCTGGTAATATTGGCCTCCCTTCCTCCTCTTTGTCTTTCCTACCTTCCTTCTTCGTCCTTCCCTCCCTACTCCTTCCATCCTGAAGGAGGGAGGGAGGGCGTGTGTGGGAGGGAAGATCCTTATATGCTAAATAACTAAATATTCACAGTGCGAAAGCGGTGAGTAGTGTAGGAATTTAGATGTTTATTATATATTAGGTTTTTCTGTGGAGTTGAGGTTCTCTACGTCGTAGTGTGGGCGGGAGGGCTGCTGTTAAGGGCGGAAGGGCGGCTGTTAAGGGTGGCAGGGAGGCCGGTTGTCAGAGAAGGGTGGCTGTCAGTGGCGGGGAAAGAAAGAGGAAGAGAGATGTTGAGGGAGAAAGAATGAGATTGAAAGAGAGAGAGAGAGAGAGAGAAAGAGAAGCCACAGGGTGACCAGAGACATTGTCGATAGTAGAAGACAGAGGCCCTTAGAACATGTCTGCGTGTAAGCTTCTAACAGACATGTAACAGCAGAAAGTACAGGCGTCTAGCCCAGTGTTAAGACATAGAACCTCTGGTTTCCGGAGGTTCTATCAGTAGAAGCTATAAACGATACCTTAACACAGGCAGAAGTTCTCATACCACCGGCATTATTTTTAAAATCCGGACACCAGCGGCATTAGATACCTCGGGAGTACTTCCTGCTGACAACTAGTACCAGGAGCAGCAGCAGCAGCAGCAGCAGCAGAGATGGTAGAGGTAGTGATGGTGGAGCTGGAGGTGGTAATTGTAATTGTGGCGGTAACTGTGTTAGCATTGGTGCACAAGCGATGTACTAGTAGCAATCGTCGATGGGTGGCGATCAACTGGTGGAGGTGCAGCTGAGGAGGAGGCAGGGCAGCAGGAGGCGGTGTGTGAGGCAGATACCCAGCAGGAGTGAGGCCAGGTAGGGCGCGCCGGGTCCGCCTCCTGCTGCAGCAACACCATGGAGGAAGCAGAAAGAAAGCAGCAGTTAGTAAGATACTCAGTAAATATTTCGGATTTACCCCTTGAGGAAGATGCATTTAGGTTGGTGAGAGGCTCTTGATCAAAGGAACAGGACCCGCCTTTCCTTTCTTTTGGTCGAACCTGAATGTCTCCCATTCCCCAGATGTTATTCAACTAAAAGTTTAAGAATTCCACATGATTAAACGCAAAAAAAGGAAAAATTTAAGTAGCGAGAAGGAAGGATCAAGCAGTGAGAGGGAAGGATCAAATAGCAAGAAGGAAGGATCAAGCAGTGAGAGGGAAGGATCAAGTAGCGAGAAGGAAGGATCGCGTAGCGAGAAGAAAGAATCAAGTATTGAGAAGGAAGGATAACGTAGCGAGAAGGATCAAGTAGCAAGAAGGAAGGATCATCTCTAAAGCATACTACCATCCGTAAGATACCATCCACAACAGCTTTTTCTAAATTACTCTGCCATTCCCTCACGATACACTCACAACAGTTGACTTAATCTCAGTTATCAAGATACTGTTAAGTGGAAAGGGGACGACACGCATAACGATACTTTCCTATAAAAAAAAAAACTCCCATTCATCCCTGAAATCTAACCTAGGTTCTTCTCTTGGAAGCTTAATGCTATAAACATTGAATTACTAATCATAATAATGAGTTAATTTCAGGATTACTCGGAGGACTCACCTGCATTAAAGAAGGAGAGTATAGGCGTCCTGGGAGGTTCAACTTTGATGGATGCTTCTATTGGTACAGAGAGGGAGAGGACGTGAGCGTAGCAGACTAGACTGAGTGTGGGCGCATGATGCTCTGACAGCGGTTAGCACCAGGCGGCTTGTGCTACTGTATACCCGGGGTATGTTCCTTCCGTGGTGGGTAGCTCCTGCACCCGACCTGATCCAGGCTGTGTCAGGCAGGGAGAAAATGGTGGAGGGTGAGGTGGTGGAAGATGAGGTGGTGGTATCGTTAAAGGCGGAGGGTGAGGTGGAGGTGGTGGAAGATGAGGTAAAAGTAGCAGTGTTGGTGGAGAGTGTGGTGAGTTGGTAGCAATGGAGGCTGAGGGTGTGATGGTGGTAGCAGTGTTGGTAGTGGTAGTGGAGGGTGTGGTGATGGCAGAGGTAGTGGAGGGAGTGGTGGTAGCAGTGGTAGTGGAGGGAGTGGTGGTAGCAGTGGTAGTGGAGGGAGTGGTGATGGCAGAGGGAATGGTGATAGCAGTGGTAATGGAAGGACTGATGGCAGCAGTGGTAGTGTTTATTATTAAATTATTGTAAGCTTATCTAAAATATATTTAGTTGGATTAGGCTAAATTAATTATGCTTGTTATAATAGGGTTAGGTAAGTTTTTAAGCTTCTTCTGGTACAAAATTATGATTTTTTACATTAACATAAATAGAAAAAAATATATCTTTAAACGAATAAGATAAAATTTTAGAAAGGACCTAAATTTAATGAGTTCTTGCTAATTGAATAATTTTACCTATTCGGCACGACATATGTATATCCATGCATCATCAGGAGCTAAGCAATGTTGCAAGAGTAGCAACAAAAGACATTGAGGGGAAGTTTTCTCAGCCCATGGTCCATGGTTAAAGCTCTCGCTTCACACGGCGAGGGTCTGGGTTTGATTCCCATTTGAAAGCATTCCGATTATTCTTTAAGACCTAATAAATGGACAATTCAAGAATTTTTCTATTATCCTTGTGTACCTGTACCTGTACAGTCCCTTTTAGCAGCTGTAGCTAAATAGGTTTACTCCTGCGGGTTTTATTACTATCCGACAGGGTACGTTCCCCAATGGACGAAATTGAGGATAGGTGTGGATAATGCTGGTCTAACGTCACCAGACCCTCATGAGGCCCCATGGCATAATGGACAATCCTGCAATTTTGTATAGCACTGTTGCTTAAGGTTGTGCACAACAGGGCTCCACTAAAGAGCTATCGAGTTTATTTCAATCCATGACTTGAATTATATAAGGCATTCCTATCATGTTTCAAGGGCCAAGGATTCAGTTATGTTTCTTTCAATTACAGAACTACCATAATCTGGGCAGCAGCCCACCATGGTAAGTGGGTTGCAAGAACTGACATGGTTAAAGATGCATTTGACTCCTGGCCCCTGATGACTGAATACTGATGTTGGGGTAATCTGGTTTCCAGAGGTTTACCAGTTTGTCCAATATATAAAAGAGAGTGCAAGGAACCCTGTAAAAACCACCCACACTATTGTAAATGTGCTATTAAATTAAACTTTTTCACTGTCCCATTGTATTTGAAGGCAATGTTTATATTGAACTTTTTAAGTGCTTAATTCAGGCTGACCAAATTTGGGGTTTGAAGGCAAATATTTTGCTGAAAAACAAGGCATGGCCATAGGAAATCCCATCAGTCCCTTACGCGCAACCTGTAAATGGAATTCTATGAGACTAGACTCCTTAAACATTTTTTCCTATATAAAGCTAGGTGATTCAAAATATGTAGACGATGTTCTTTACCTTTGGCCTAGGGATCACAATATCGATGAGTTCCTACCTTACACTCAATGGTCTAGTGTCTTCCATTAAGCTCACAACAGAGCATGAAATAGACAACACTCTAACTTTCCTAGATATTTTTAAACCATCGTGTTCTCCACAAGATTCAGATTTACAGTTTACAGGAAGTCAACCAATGTGTTGTCAGATATTCACTGTTACTGTAATTCTGAGTCTAGAGTTAACAGGAGTGTTTTCCTTACGATGTTCTGAGAGCCTTGTTTATCTGTAGCCTGGAGCATTTAGAAGATGAAATCAATAAGATATTTAACATAGCCACAAAACTAAGATATCCCAGGGATTTTGGTTGAGACTCCTCTATTGTCAGCTAGGAAGACATTCTACATTCTGAACCTAAAGAAATGCCTGCCATGAAAAATGTAATGAATTTACCCTACAATGAGGATTTGGTCAGCATGTGCGAGATATTAAAAAAATTTAAGTGTAAACATTGCCTTCAAAAACAATGGAACAATGAAACAGAGATTGATTAAGAACACACCGTCTAATAGTGTGGGTGGTGTTTACTAGGTTCCATGTATTCTTTGCCCTCTTCCATACATTGGACAAACTGGTAAACCTCTGGAAACCAGATTAGCACAACATCAGTACTTAATTAGGTTTTGCTATCACCCACTGGGGTGGGCTGCTTCCCAGATTATTGTGCCCAATAGTTCTGTCATGGAAAGAAACATAATTATATCCTCATTCTTGAAACATGACAGGAATGCCTAATATAATCTAAGTTATGGGGGTGTACTAACTCAATAGCTGTTTAGTGGAGTCTGTTGTACACAACCTTAAGCAACAGTGCTATACAGAATTTCAGAATTGCTCATTACACCATGGGGCTTCGAAAGAATTTGTGAAGTAAGACCAGTATTCCCTGCACCTGTCCTCACATTTCGCTATCTGTGAACATACCTTGTCCGTCGGTATAATAATGTAACTATTATGATTAAACCCATTTAGCTACAGCTGAACCATTTCGAATAAACCCGTTTAGTTGCAGCTGCATTAAGGTACTTTATGCGTACAGGTACACAAGGTTATGTGACTGCAATCAGTGATGGCAACATGATGAATTCAACTAGCTTTGTGGATTACAACCAAAGAGAGTTAGGCTGTTCTGTGGTGATAAAGGATAATCGGGAAATTCTTAAATTGTCTAGTTAAAAGGTATTAAATAATAATCGTAATACTATAGAAGGTCCATAAATAACCAAGGAATAAGCATAATAATTGATAATGGGATATCGGTAGGCAGTATTTAGGAATATATGAAGAGGACTGTTCTGAATATTCTAGAACCTCTGGGACATACGGTATTTATAGTGACAAACGAGCATATTCAAACTCTTTTATTAATTAGAAGGTTAACAACATAATATAATTGTTTTGTATGCATGTTATCCACTAGTGCAACGTAATTCTCTAAGGCACATGACTTATCAACGATGACTGGATAAAACTTAGGGCTGGCTATTATATATATTATCTTGTTTCCTACTTTCTGTAAACTCTGAGGCCATCTTCCACCCTACACAATATGTGGAAGGATGAGGAGAGTGGATAGGTGCTTGGCAGATGGACCGGTACCTCTCATATGTGAGAGAACTGGCTGGTTTCACCATGCTACCTTAATCTGAGATAACCTTCCCTCATTTCTTCTATTGCTACTCTTGCAACATTGCATAGTTCCTGATGATGCACGGATACATGTTGAAGAACTTGAACTGAAGATTTCCATCACCCATGGCTTGTCTTGTATATATATATATATATATATATATATATATATATATATATATATATATATATATATATATATGTCGTGCCGAATATGTAAAACTGGTCAATTAGCAAGAACTCATTTAAAATTAAGTTCTTTCTAAAATTTCTCTTATACTTTTAAAGATATATTTTTTTCATTAATGTTGATGTAAAAATTTATAATTTTGCACAAAAAGGAACTTAGAAAACTTACTTAACCTTATTATAACAAGAACAATTTATTTTAGCCTAACCCAACTAAATATATTTTAGATTTGTTTAAAATAATTTAATACTAAAAAAACACAGTGAAATATATTTTTTTCGTTAGGTTCAGAACGATTTTGGTGAAATTATTGCTTACACAAATTTTCACTTGTCCTATAAGCCATGATCTCAAGTTCTACCTATTCGGCACGACATATATATATATATATATATTTATTATTTTATATATATATATATATATAGGGGGTGGTAGGAGAAGAAATATTCAAACAGCTCGGGGAGAACCTTGAGTTTTCTCCTGAGGTACGTTATTGTCTTCTCTGAGGTATGAGGGTCCCCATTCCAGCCATAGAGGTGGTACTTCCCTATATTATATATATATTATATTATATATTATATATATATATATATATGTGTGTGTGTGTGTGTGTGTGTGTGTGTGTGTGTGTGTGTGTGTGTGTGTGTGTGTGTGTGTGTGTGTGTGTGTGTGTGTGTGTGTGTGTGGCAAACATCGCAGATAGGCGATCTTAACTTTGAAAGACAAACCACGAGGGTGGGGTGGAAATTTTTTGATCAAGTTCTTTCACACTTCTCAGTGCGTCATCAAGAGCTATGCAGAGTTGCAAGGCAACAACTGAAGGAGTGGGGGGAAGTTTTCTCAGAGTAGCGCAATGCAAGTTTGTCACCTGCCACAGCCTCTCTCAGAATATGAGCCAACGGTCTGGTGCCACCTGCACCACCACATCCCCATCCCCCCCACATATGGGGTAGGAGGGTTTTTAAAAAGCCAAGGATTATGAAATTAGAAAAATATAGTAGCCAGCCCCAAGTTTTTTCTAATCACTTAGAACAGGTCATGTGACTTGAGAAACGTATTTGAAGAGAAGTTGCAAAGGTTGGTGGATGAGTTTGGTAGGGTATGTCAAAGAAAAAAATTAAAAGTGAATATAGGAAAGAGTATGGTGATGAGGATAACAAAACATTAGTGGACGAAAGATTGGATATCAGATTGGAGGGGGAGAGTATGGGGGAGGTGAATGTATTCAGATATTTAGGAGCGGATGTGTCAGCAGATGGGTTTATGAAAGATGAGGTGAATATAGAACTGATGAAGGGAAAAGGGTGAGTGGTGCACTTAGGAGTCTGTGGAGACATAGAACTTTGTCCATGGAAGCAGAGATGGGAATGTATGGAGTATAGTTATACCCAATGCTTTTATATGGGTATGAAACATGAGTAGTGAATGTTGCAACAAGGAGAAGGTTGGAGGCAGTGGAGATGTCATGTCTGAGAGCAATGTGTGATGTGAATATAATACAGAGAATTCAAAGTTTGGAAATTAATGAGTCCAGAGGGCTGAGGAAGGGTTG